GACCTTACGCAGTTGCGAGCGCCGTAAAACCTCTCCTAAAAAAACGAAATGTTGTCCTCACATGTTTCCTTCCACCTCCCTCTCCTTCTGCCTTCTTGTACTGTTGTCGCCAATATGCCAATCTTGGTCCACATGACCTTGACATGTGCCCAAACCATTTTAGTTTGCATCTTTCAACTCAACGAGGATACGAATTCGTGGGTGGTTGGCTGGTGCTCTGGTATGGTTTGCTCCTTCTTTCCTATCAAACATCTATCGTCTTCGTCCCCCCTCCTTCTTTTTTGTGTTTGTTACTCTCTTGTAACACCTCTAATCTTCGGCACTTATATGACCAAATTGCGTTGCAAGTGCCGTAAAGCACTTACTTTTAAACTAAAGGATACGAATTCTGGTCCTTCGATGACGATGGGCACAGAAGGCGTGAGTGCGATTCCCGCTGGAGGAAGTTAATGTACCTGGTTAATCTGTTTCTGTGAGAGAGATGCTATAACCTGCCTGCCTGATTTCGCAATGATCAATTATTGTGCCAATGTGGGTGCAAAACGTTGGCGAACATCTGTGTGAAATTGCACCGGTTTAACGCTCATAGCAACACTGAAAGGCTATTTATAAAAGGCGGGAACCGTGAAATCAACGCCCATCTCCGAATGAACCGAGCCAAATGGGTCGCCGTGAAGTCCTTCGATAAAGACGATTTTTATTCAATTAACTCTTTTTAAGAAGAGGGGGAGGGTCGAAATATACTTTTATCGTTTTTACTATCAGTCATTATTAGGCTGCAAAATTCATTAAAAGCGAGTTACATCGTAAGCACACCTTGCATCAGATGAATGTAAACTGTTGTGGTGAGCTCTCCCATTCCTTGTGACTGTCGCGAGTTTAGATACCTTTTTTTTCAATTTCTTTGAACTGTTGACAAGCTGGGCACGGGGACAAGAGTCAGCCTGGTGAAGGCCTGATCAGAGAGCGGGTATATTATATACCTTCGGCTGAAAAAAAACCCAACTGCCTCGCACAACTGAAGTGCGTCGCAAACAAAAGTCGTGCCCTCCTCTTTGTTTCCTATCTGTGATTTCACTGACACGACTAGACGTGAGGAGTCGTGCCCTCCTCTTTGTTTCCTATCTGTGATTTCACTGACACGACTAGACGTGAGGAGTCGTGCCCTCCTCTTTGTTTCCTATCTGTGATTTCACTGACACGACTAGACGTGAGGAGTCGTGCCCTCCTCTTTGTTTCCTATCTGTGATTTCACTGACACGACTAGACGTGAGGAGTCGTGCCCTCCTCTTTGTTTCCTATCTGTGATTTCACTGACACGACTAGACGTGAGGAGTCGTGCCCTCCTCTTTGTTTCCTATCTGTGATTTCACTGACACGACTAGACGTGAGGAGTCGTGCCCTCCTCTTTGTTTCCTATCTGTGATTTCACTGACACGACTAGACGTGAGGAGTCGTGCCCTCCTCTTTGTTTCCTATCTGTGATTTCACTGACACGACTAGACGTGAGGAGTCGTGAGGACCTAAAAAGACGTGTGAGCATTCAGCACTTCTTTTTCGCGTGCGGACAGACTCGCCCTGCGCATCGGAGTGTTCCGGGACGCCGTGGAGATAAAACGAATCAAAGGGGGGGGGGGGGGGGAGGGGGCGACGACTGAGCTGTATGCTTCACCACAGGCTCCCCTGTCTACGCATGCGTACAACGTCCCGTCTGTTTATTTCCTGCCAAGATAGAAGACGAACGACTGACTGTTGAGGGTTCGCTCCAGAGAATTGATCTACAGCAAAACGGACAAGAACCAGTTCCGACAACTCTGTTTTCTCTGTCTTCTTCTCCACAGCCACCACACTAAAAGTTTCTCACGCCCGTTTAGCGCCAATTTTTTAAACAGTCGGACGGAGTCGCTCTGCTGACCTATGGGATCACCACTTCTGACCTAGCTGTCCGTCCGTTTCGCGGCGCACTTCAGTACTGTTGTGAGTGGCAGTATATTTTCAGCCTTTTAGTTACAGCGCTGATGGTCTTCACTTGAGTACGAATTAACCCATGTTTCTCGATTAAATCTTTCCTGCTGCCTTCTAGTAAAACACAATAAGGTTCATCATTATTGATAATTATCTAAAGATTGTTTATTGAGGCAGTGATATTATCATTGCATATGTCATGGATAGACGCGAGAAACAACCGAGTGAGGTGCGTGCAAAATATAAAAGAGCCAGATAAAGCAGAGAATCGTTTATTTGAAAGCAAGACTTAGGAAACGTTTAGCCTATTCTTTCAAATACACATGCATGTTTACATTGCTCAAGGAAGCACGACAGAGATCATAATCACTTCGAACACAAAACTAATAATATCGGCAGGATATTTACAATGAATATGTGACATAGAGACGAGTTGGGAATGAGAGAGGCTTGCTACAAGGACATACAAACATTAGAGTCATTAAAATATAAATTACGCCCACTGCGAAACAAAGTTTCATAAAAGGAACAGTTTATACGATAGTGTTGGAAGGACGTTATACTCATACTTGCAAAATGAACTTGCCCCCTATTTCAGAACGTACTTGACCCAGCACGAACATGGGCGGTCCCCACTGTCCTTGGGGGTATAATTAGGTCACCATGACGTTATGTGAGATGCATACTTTTCAGAATGAGGGGTCCAAATTAACCAGTGGGTTCGTTTGACAGAAAGAAGTAGGGCAGAGCACTAGAGACACACGAAGATAAAGGGCCAGAGGCTTGGGGATACTGTGAAAGGAATAGTTTTTATCTTTCAGTCCTTCCATTGATTTATGTGTTCTAGTTTTGTTGATGTATCAGCTTGTGCATTTCATAGGATCATCAACAGAGAGAATTAAATGGGAGTTTCGTTGATGAATTTTAAAAAAATGATTGCTGAACCAAGACAAGACTATTAGTTGCCGCATGGTTGCATTCCTATTTTTGTACATGTATTTTCATTAACTAACATAAGTAATTATAAAACAGACAGATATGGTCAATAAAACCCCCATGAACATTGTTATCTGACAAATGTGCCCCTTAGAGTAGAGTCGAGTACAGAATAATGACATAGACATGAAACCGTATTTTACAAAGTATGCGAACGTGAAAATAGAGCATGGTGGTTAATTTTGTAATTTGGCAGCCGAATGAAGAGTAGTTCAGACCATCCAATACTCATCTCAGCTGAAAATCTTGACTTAGAAGACGTGCTTCCAAAAGTGCAACTTATTTTCTGTTAATTGTGTGAGTGCACTCTATTACAAACCATAACACTTGTATAGATACAATGATAAGTCGAATTGGTTATTCAATTTACATGTACAACGAAAATCAGTCTGCCGTGTTCTTCAAGTTCGTAGTATTATTGTAGCAAACATTCATGAGGTATACAGTACTTGAATTATAATACAATAGTATCTCACAGTATTCTAAAATTTTGTTTTGCTCAAGGCCCGCTAGTATCTATGTTAGAGTAGAAAAGATACACTTTTTTCAACATAACATGAACACAGAAACATTTGCCAAGAAGAAACATAAACTATACAAAGCAGAGAGTGTTTTTGCCTTTTTTTAAGGTATAAACATGTAAATCATGGTGATGAAGACATGTTTGTGGAATATAAAAAGATTATTCCTTGTTCGGTCGTCTATCATAATGTCTTATACTACTTTGTACTTTCATCGATGAGCCGCTACTCAGATTTATCTCTGTGAATGTTCCTAACTATAAAAGGTCATAATTCTTCTGTCAATACTGTTCGTATCAGTTATCATCAATCGAATTAATATACTAAAGAGTTTTCTGTTAATATCTAGATGTTTATTTCCATGGTGTTAATATTAGTTTAGGTCGTTATCGATAGCCAGTTTACAAATATTTACAAACTCAGTTTTGCAATATATTTTTACTTTGCCCTATATAATTAAATTAAGAAATTCAACAAAGACAGACTGAAAATGACTGCAGTTGTGTTGGAAAGACAGAGCACATTATAAAGGACAGTTTCTGGGTCAAAGAGCTATCTCTCGTTTGTGCTACAGTAACTTTAAAAGCGACCATCAAATTACTGGGGAATTTTTAATTCAACTTCCAAAAGGGGCAGGTGGAAAAAAAGTAAAAATGCGATTTAATTTTTGTATGGCTTGCATTCAATAATGTTCTAAATATTATGAAAGGTGTTCAGCTAAATCATACGGTTATTGTGATAGAAGGGTAATGAAATGTAGTATTTTCTAACTTAAAGCATGTTTCCCCAACCACGTATCTAAGACATAATACAATAATGTCCCCTTTCTTTAGGCCAAGATAAAAGAGGAATACAATAAAAGGGAGGGTTGAAATGTAGAAAGGAAATTGCATACATAAAAATTAATGAAGTTTTTAACGCTCATTTTTTTCCCAGAACAACGCATTGTATCCAAATAAGTCTAGGGTTTGAAAAACCTATAACAACATTCGATCTCTTCCATTCCCTCTCGTCTTTCTCGAGTGGGAAAGAGGTTAGTGGGCTGGGGCTCAAAAATGATGCCAAGGAACGTTGAAACATTTTGATAGTGCGTGTCACTTGAGTGTGTCTCTCGTACAAGACACGTTTACCCGTGGCAGCCAGCAATGGCTTGTTTATTCTGTACATCTTCTTAAGTTGTTTTGTTACGTAGTGTTCAGGGATCTAAACATCTAAAAGAATGTGCATTGTATTTGCCACAAAAATTGTAAATGTCCTTGTTTGAATCTTTAATGGTGGTTTTAAACTATAACGGACCAAGATTATAATGACAATGTGTATCTTTTAAAATCATTCCACATAATCCTCGAAAACAAAATTTTTAAAAAAGTGCATTCACATTATTACTCTCCCCTCCCCATCCACAGTGCTTGAGAAAGTACAGGTCACAGAATCTCTCCCAGAGCAAAATTAGGCGCGATTAACGTTCCCTCTTCATGAAAGCCTCTTTCTCTTTCTTCTGAGCTTGCGCGCAAACGATTTGCCTTCTTTGATGACTGTTGTGGAGTTGACCTTGACCTTGACTGGCACCACGGTCTCGTCCATTGGGCACGGTCCGTCTGTAACACTGACGTCATCAATAGCCATGTCGCCTTGATAACCGTTTTCTGTTATGCCTTCAAAGGCAAGCTGTGGATTATAAATAGAGTGAGTTTTTAAAAGGTACAACCTTGAAACTTTCCAAATCGTATCTGGGGCGCGAATTCGCTTCCCCATTTTCTAACTGTTTTAAGTGAATAAACAGACTCTAGACCATTGAATTTTGTCTGCGTTGGCAGGAGACCGACGGGCAAAACATATTTTCTTTGCAAAAACAAGACACTTGAAACTGATTTAAATCGAGGTCACCGGCCTTGCGATCAAGTGCGTTGTCGTTCAAGGTACTCTTTTTTCTTATTCAAATATATTATAACCCATCATCAAAGTGTCTACAGCATATGTTACTGCTCGAAAACAGTGATAGCCAAGATCTTATAACATCGACATTTTTCTTCACGAAGTGATTATAAGCCCGACAATGTTATAACAAATATGATAGCGGACCGACACTAAAAAAGAACTTTAACGTAAAGATGAGCGTGTGGACAAGGGAAATAACACTAATAACAGTTAGTTCCCCGTTATAGTCTCATCCTTGAGACTAATTGCAGTTTCACTCCTCACTGAACTGGTGTAGCAAGGAATATTCTGCAGTTTATCCGTTGACCAGGGTTAGTTGAGTTGTAATTAAGTCAACCATTTCCACCGACTTACTGAGCCATCACAAGAGGCCAGTGGCAGTTAAGGATGTGCACGATGTATATTCCAGACTTCGAGGTCTTTGATCTGCTACACCAACTCCCAGACGGGTTTGGGTTTTAGATTAAGTTTTCTAAACAAGAGAGTGGCCGGGGAAAAAATAAATTTACCACGTTCCGGTTCTCGGACGACGCTTGTGGTGGGGAAACGGCTCTGCGAAACGTTGAAGTACCCATTTAGGTTATGTCTTTCAACAGACAGACACGTACATCTAATTAACTGTTGTCTGGGGGGGGGGGGGGGGGTTTCAACAACATATTTTAAAATTCTGATTTTTTACTCTTTTATTTGACTTTCGAAGGCAGAAAGAGAAAGCACCTTATTCTTTACTTTTCCATTTTGTTTGGTGAACAGCTTCCTGTTGTCGGAAAACATCTTTCTATCAGTTCACAAAGATATTTTTACTTTTAAATAATAAAAAATGGCACAGCACAGGTAAAATTACGGACCTTTGACTTAGCTGTTGTTTCTCACATCGAACAAACAATAAATCATCATTGAAAGAAAGCACAACAACTAAAATGCGCGTCATTCCTCGTGTCCTTAAACTAAGAGGCAAGTACCCAAACCAAACATTGTGTTAATGAATTATAACAACTAGAAACAGCCATGACTAAGAATATTATGATGTCCTATCAATAGCTAGACCGGAATGGGTAGAGATTATGTCTAATTGGTCGCCTTTAAGGTTTCCAGAAATCTTGACCTACACCAAAAGTGGGCATTGCCCTACCTATAGGAGAAGTTTAGTTTTATTTATGTGTATATTTGTTTGGTTATAGAGAAAACTCTACTTGTCTTTTAAAGACACTGAACAGAGGGCAACCACTTTACCTTCAATTTTCTCAAAACAGCATTTTTCGGGATAGCCCCCTTGTGCTTAAAAGTGACCAATAAATGATGAGCACTTGAAGAGGAAAAAACCCCAGCTGTCGTTGCATTCGCAAGCGTTCAACATGTGCAACCTAGAATTGAAAGAGTGTTTTGGTTAGCTCGATAAATGGTTGAGGTAACAGCAAAACAACAGAAATTGCGCACTACGAACCTGGTAGCCGGCCATAGCCAGTTCTCTGGGAATAGCCAATCGTGCGTTGGTCCACACGTCTCCCTGGTTACCGTAGGCTCTCCAGGCAGAGTTGAGGACGTCACCGCGAGCCTGAAGGGGACAATACAGACTTGAGGATAAAGCTAAAGATTTAGAAAGCTGAGGATGTCATCTGTATGCCTGTCTGTCTGTCTGTCTGTTTTTCTGTCGGTCTGTTTGCTTGTCTGTCTGTCTGTCTGTTTGTCTCTTTGTGCCCCCCTTCTCTTTCTCTCTCTCTCTCTCTCTCTCTCTCTCTCTCTCTCTCTCTCTCTCTCTCTCTTTTCTCTGTCTCTTTCTGTCTTTCTCTGTCTCTCTTTCCTCTCTTCAACATTCACGCGCGCGCGCATATACAAACACATATTATGTGAGAATGCACACGTAAATACAAACATGTGTACATCGCATATTCACTTCAAGACATGATGTTGAAAATTAATTGGGTTATACAGACTACTCACTGCTTTCGTTAATTTTCGTTTAACTATGTTGTGGCTGAAAGCAAACTTGATTCTACCCCCAGGGATCAAATTGTTTATCGAAGAAACACATTTATTTTGACCTCGAAGGTGATCCGTTATCTCTGTCCGCAGAGAACCCACTGAACAGGCCCACACAGGCATAACTTTCGGTCATTGGTAATTTACAGGACACATTCGACTACAGTACGGGTATATATAAGTATAATATACTGTTAATGACATAAATACATGTATGAAGAAACAGAAGTCGTTGATCAAATAAAATTATTATTGCTTTGATACTTCGCAACAAGCCCACACAAACATATTATTACTGAAAAGATGCACGTTTGGTTGTATGAAGGTTAAAACAAAAACAAAAACAAAAACAATCAGAAGACAAAGGTGAGGGCGGACGGACAGCGCCAATGATACTTCACAGTACAAATGCCTGACAACCGACAATACCAGTTATTTCCCCTGCCTGTGGTATCATCTTCTTCTCCTTTCAACGCGTTATCGTACTAAAGGATAGAACAGGTAAAAGTAAAGAGAGTCACAGAGAGATACTATACGTCTTTTCATCCCCATCTGTCCACATGTCTAGCCCAGGCACAAGATCTAGTGTGGTCTACCCTTTGATACCTTAAAACTTTTGACCCCTCCACTTGCTGAACATCAGATTTTTTTTTTGTTTTTTTTTGTTTGGGGGGGGGGGGGTAATTCGACCGTTCGGTGCTTTTCTAAAAAGCACAAACATGTGAGGCGGTTATTGGTTTCTTTCTGCGGCATTGCTGTAGCGGTCAACGCTGATGTTGTCATCATAGAAGCTGGCAGGACTCCTGGTATGTGCATTACACACCTAGGCCAGTGTTATTTTTAGGGCAATGTTACTGAGTTTTTCTTATTATTGTTTTAGTCTGAACGCATTGCTGTTCTCATTTATACCAGACAAGACAGTACGTTCTTCTTCTCCAAGTGCCAGGTCTAGTAAAAGACGTGGGCGAGCATTGCTCGCAACTAATTTCACTTCTCAGATGCTTTAAAACAAAAGCCCCCCCCCCCAAAAAAAAACCCAAAAAACCCAAACCCAATAAACCCCCCAAAATCCCTCCATATTATCCTAATCTTTTCTTATAGCCTCATCTGTTAAAATCAAGTTAGTCTTTGCTTGAAATGGACTCGAAAAAGTGTCTGTTTTCTTTTACGCAATCTAGGCTATAGGTCGGTAGTGGTAGTCAAATTTGTGTTCTTTTCGTTTCCCGCCATTTTAGTCAAGTCAATGCTGTACTATCTTTAGTCATGTCATTTGTTTTGGTCGTTTGAATAATATCTTAATAACTTCTCCAATAGTCCCCATTTCTCTCTGACTAGTATTCTTTTATTCATAGCGACAGACTGGAGCTGTGGGGAGGGATGAGATGGATGGGGTTCCACTCTCTTCAAGGACAACCCTATTATTGTGGTTGGTATTGTGCCGAACTGCGATTGAATTGATCGTTGTTCGAATCACCAACAGTCAACCGGGTATTTTTGACGTTGAGTTGTTTTGAGGATTTTCTTGGCTCTCGCCTCACAAGACTCGGTCCTGTCGGAAAATGACGTCAAAGATCGGATGCCATCCTTATTAAGTAACTTAACAGTGCTGAGATAGGCGTTGAACACTGAGAAATTCAATCTACATTGCAATCATAATATCATAACTACAAACCCATCCTGAGACATCATTCTGTCTGTCTTCAAATTACATCTGTTCACACCTGAGATGGAAATTCACATTTTTATCTGCCGTTTGAGGTTCAAGAAGACAAGTCTGTGCTTCGTTGATGTACTGCTTCCTATACAATTATATTTAACTCGATATCCTGCTTTGGCACTGTAACTGTAAAACTGGTGCAAGAACCAGAAGCAATTTAATGGTTTGGTGAATATTGTTTTTCTACAAATATCATATGGACGTCGTCCAAAAATTGGTTCGTTCTCTTGAAGCCGAGCCCACTTGCAGAGCAATAAGAAAGCCATAAACAAAGGGGCAATTAAACATCGTGATAATTCACGGAATCGTTTTCGGCTGGTGTATCCATCACCATCGAGAGGTGAGCGCATGACGCAAGCAATGACGGCTGACGGCCGTGCGAGTTCTTGACTTTCTACCCACCGCTATCTGCACTCACTCACCGAATTACTTGTCTCTGGAGAGACCGACAGGAGGCATAAACTCAGGTATTCCGTCGGTTTGTTTTCGTGAGTGGTTTTATAGATACCTCCCTCCCCTCACCCTCCATTCATCCTCCCCTATAGATTCCCCCCTCCCCTCATCCTCCCCTCACCCTCCCCTGCTTCCCTCAGGGGAAACCCCACCCCGAACTTGTACCCCGTACCGACTGTCCTAGTCTGCAGAAAAAAAGACTTATAGTCCGAGAGCCAGGTCTATATAAAGTACTAGAACCTTGTTTTTCATCATAAAGTTTTTTTCTTTGGTGATTCTGCTTCCTCGGGGTCTCTAGACTTCATATCAGTCGGGGGCCAACTTGTATCTTATGGGCATAATTTTTTTCTGCTGGTTGAAATACACCAACATGTATCATGTAAGAATGATGAAGGAGCGACTAGAGCTGGGCAATGAGTCGCTTTACCAAAATACGGATAATATGTTAATACACCTCTTCGGCAAATAATATGTTATGAACCGCTTCGGCAAAATCTCTTAGCTAAACAGGTTAGCATTACTTCATCAACAAATGGGTACACTCACTGCGGCAAACGGGTCAGGAAAGAGAGTTTAGGGTCTGAATTCAGATAATATTTCTTTGAGAATTATCCGGTTATCCGGACATTTTATCCGGATTTTACCCATCTCTATACCATGTACGAGTCGACCAAGATTCGCGCGAGGCGCGAGGGTACTAGGCGTAGCACTAATAGTAATAGTAATAGCTCCTCTCGCCGTGATGTCACAGGATGCACCGAAAGGTGCACCGCACGGCCTGCTGTAATATGGACTCAGCTAGCAAAGGAAGGAAACATTGGCAGACAGTGCTTCGTCACACCACACCTCCGTAGAAACAAAGAATGTAGGAAACTGCTACGTCACCACGAGGACGTGATGCGATCAGCTGGTTCATGCAACATGCACATGCATACACACAGTGTCTCACTCAATTACTTCTAAACTCATACGGATGCGATAAAGAACCCACCGCTGATCAAACCGAGACGGATTAGTGGTCTACTAGAAGCAAGCCGGCAACAAGATGATGGACTCAGTCAGAGACTTTCAGATGATGCTGAGTTTACACTGCGTCACAAGAACTGTGTGAGCACACATTGTTCCAGAGACCATATTAAGCGATTTTTTACTAAAGCAAAAGACTGAGGAACTTTCTGAAGAAGAACTCAAACGTCATAGGGGCAGTACTAGATCTAGTTCGTTTAATTTTCACGAACATTGTTTTTTTTTGTGGAGAAGCATGCTCACTGATACTCCCAAAAACACCCAGATCGTTGGAAAAAGCCTACTTATTATGACGAACTGGAGAGGAGAAAGGGAGGAAGATCACCAAAGAAGAACTGCAACAAAAAAAAAACGTGCCAAGGAACGTGGGGACAAATGGGGAATGGATGTCAGCTTCCGTGTGTCATCAACAGTCAGTGATTTAGCAGACGCTAGGTATCAGAGAGACTGCCACTCCTGGTTCTACACAAACTATCCAACGCAATCAACTAGCTCCCCTACAAAGCATGACTATGTCTTCGGTATGCTGGTTGACGACATTCGATGAAACAAATCACGAATGTGGAATAGTGTGGAAGTCCATGAACGCTATATTGAACTTGGGGGGGGGGGGAAGAGGAAGATAAATCGCGACGTACACTCCTGAACCATGTATCTGAGAAGCTACATCCAGAATTGCTGATCCTGTCCCACCAGGTGTGGCCTCCATCCTCTTCTTCAGGAGCACGGCTTCAGTCTAGATGCGTATTGTAAATGATGAAGGAGACTGCAATGGACGAGCCATATCATGCTTGGTTAGTGTGGTCAAAGCAGAATGTCCAAAGCACAATCGCCATACGTCCCCAACTCGTCTGCCTAGGGGATTTGTCATGAATGAGTGCAGCCTTTGCTATCGGTCCTTGCAGCCAAAGACCCCAAACTGGATTCTACACTGCCAGCAGCAATGATCGGCCACACTGTTACTAGTACAGTCAGCAACTATTTCACAAACTTGCAACTTGGATTTTGTGTTCTGTTGAGTCGACAGAGGAAATTTATAGACGAGCTTCACACGTATGGAATCACCACCTCATGCGACGAACTAAGGCGCTATCGGTGTTCAGCTACTGTTGCTATGGCATCTGTTCCAAGAGGACTGGCCTACTTTGACAGTAAACATGGACTTGTTCAAGTTGTAGCTGGCAACTTTGACACGCAGATATCATCTCCAAAAGGCCAGAAATCAACGCACGGCTCAGCAAAGATACTGGCACAAGCCAACACGCAGGAGTCAGAGCAGGTGTAGGAAATGCAAGATATTCCAGCCATCAGGCGTCTCAGCAAAACAGAAACCAAGTCCGATAATCTGACACTTGGTGACGTTGCAGTTCAACGGTACACAGGAAACACGAAGCCACTTATGCCGGAAGAACTGAGCCTGCGACATGTCTGATCTCTGGTCTTTCTTGCCACACGACAGGCTTCTCTGAATAGAACTGCAACTCAAGATCTGTCATTTTTTAAACAGGCACTCGGCGAAGATGCAAGACCTGAGTATGGAGGTTATAACACACAACGTACCCGCAGTGCAGAACAACAACCCCAACCAAAGACAGATGTGATGTACAGCCTATTCCTGGACATTATCCCATCTGAGCCAGACACCGTGAAGACAGCAATGGTTGAAGCCAATGGTCTGACACAGCTCACTGGTCATGGATGGACAATATTCACTAGTGACTACCAGCTGTGCAAAGAACTTGTCCACATCACAAGGGTTGACAAGGAACAGTTTCAGAAGTTCATCCCAAGAATTGGTGGTATGCACATGCTGAGGAGTTTTGTTAGTGCTGTGGGATACCTGATGGGAGGAAGTGGCATTGAAGACATACTTGGCTCTGCATTTGTGGGGGTGCCAAAAATGTTGACCCGGAAAAAATACCCACAAAATGTAAAAGCATTGAGACTTCTTGTTGAGTAGTTACTGCGACCCATTCTCCCCAAAACTAACGTGCACACCATGGCTGCACTCACGCAATGTCTCGTCACCAAAAGCACCCAGAGCAAAACCACAAGACTTTGGGTTGAGTGCTCCTTGACCCAGTGTTCATTGTGATGGCCTTTGTTCGGACTGAGAGAGAAGCTGACTGGACTCTTCACTTGTTTGCTGTGGAAAAGATGTTCCCCTACATCTTTGAGCCTGGAACGTCAACTATGCTCGCTATATATATATATATATATATATATATATATATATATATATATATATATCTGTGTCTGTGTCTGTGTGTGTGTGTGTGTGTGTGTGTGTGTGTGTGTGTGTGTGTGTGTGTGTGTGTGTGTGTGTGTGTGTGTGTGTGTGTGTGTGTGTGTGTCGCCCTCTGCCACGAGGAAGAACTTATCCATGCGAGGTCGTGATTTTAATGCGACGATTTCAAGTGTATTGCGGATCAGCACATTTATGAAAACTATATGGCAGCCATCTTGTTTTCTTTGAAGTTGCCATTTTATCGAATATTTGATGTGTATTTCATCAAGAGTGGTTACTTTTATCACACTGAATGCTATTTTATTAAGTTTGTACATTTTTAAGTCTTTAAATGCATGATATCCCTCACAACATCTTTTACTCGAAATTCTTTGGCGGCCATCTTGGATTTTCACTTTTAAACAAAAATGCCCAAAGTTTAGCATTTGGCCCCCATTACATTTGAAATCAGCAATGAAAACCCTGTTAGAATCACCAAAGAAAAAAACTTTATGACGCAAAACAAGCTTTTTCATTATTATTATAATTATTATTATTATTATTATACTTATTATTATTATTATTATTATTATTATTATTATTATTATTATTATTATTATTATTATTATTATTATTATTATTATTATTATTATTATTATTATTATTATTATTATTATTAAATTTATTAAAGGATAGTCGATAGTCAAGTTGTTAGGCTACCAGACTTTCATAATGTTATAATCAGGTGTGCTGGGTAATGCCATTAAGGAGTGTAAAGCGCACAGAGTTTGCTGTAGAGCCGCAATAGGCGCTATGCAAACGTTATCTCTCTATTATCTACTACCATTTATTATGATTATTATGGTTGTTTCCGAGACTGTGAATTACTCCACAAGGTCATATAACAGCAATTATGCAGTAGGCATCACCAGGTCAAAGAAGAGGTCAAATGTACCAAAAAAAACCCTTCTATCTTTAAACTAAACGTTACTCGTAGATGCTGTTGTTTCAGTTATGGAGAGTCCCATTTGCAGAGCAACAGCTGTGTAGTCAAACGAAACAACAAAGAGAACTATTGAGATATCTGAGAGTTGAGAGTGGCGAGTTTTAGTACAGGTCAAAAGCAAGGTAGACAAACAGAAGCAATAAAGGAAAAAGAAAGACGTTGGACCTACTTGAAGAGCGCACTAACTATCCGCCTAACACAGAAAAAGGAACGAACATTACAAGGCAAGGTGCTGATGGGCTGAAGATATTCGGAGACGTCTCCGGCGAGCACCCAGGAACTATTCGGAGACGCACTCCCGCAAACAGATGCACTGCTTTGGGGGGGGGGGGTCAAACTGCGTATCGTTTGCTGCAGATCACACATATAGCCCCTAAAACAGTCGCAATTCAATTATTTTCAAGAAAATTTCAAGCCTAATTGCAAAATATCAAATTATGGGTTAAAGAAGGTGTGTGTGTGGGGGGGGGGGGGCATACCCCCTGTAACCCCCGAGATTTTTTTACTTGGTCTAGAAGCAAAAGCATTTTGATTGGTCTATCTCCGTCAGAGACGTCTCCGAATAGATACTGTGTGCTGATGAGCTCTCCATGACCTAGCTATGGAAACGCACAAGGATCATTTACGCTGAAGAAAGGCAGGGTAAAGAAATATTGACAGCCAACTGTTATTGACCATTTACCTGAGCATAGACGTTGAGGGTACCGATGTGGCGGCCGTTCATGTGGTAGAAAAACTCCACGCATTGAGCCTGCATTCCTCGGTATAGGGGTGAGTAGAGGATGGCGTTACTTCCCCGTCCTTTAGCGGATGCCTCGATGAACATGAAGTGACCTGTGGGAACAGAGAGTTATGTGTTACTTTAGTGT